AAGAAAGAAAGAAAGAAAGAAAGAAAGAAAGAAAGAAAGAAAGAAAGGAGGAAAACTCATTCACTTCCTCTTCTACATGCAACCAGAAGCACCAAGGTGATGTTCTGACACATCTTTTTGGGCTTTCCCTCTCCCTGGGCAGGTTGTGGCCCAACACTCTTGTGCAGCAGGACAACAATGAACCAGCTCAGCAGCAGTCATACAGTATGGAAGCACAGCATCTCTCCCTTGAGAGAATTCAGTAAAGTGCTTTATAAATGCCAACCAGACACTGGATCTTCTTGTAGTTTTTGCTCAAAAAGCCTCTTGTAACCGAAAGGGAAACGAGAACCAAAAACCAGTGTCCGAGTTCACGTGGCCAGATCTCGGCCATCACAGTTCATCTTGTGTTTCTCTTCTTCTCTGTGTGAAGTTGAACCCTCTGTGTTCACACCACCATGTGACTGCAGCAGGGTTCATATGCCAGACACATGAATGCTCCAAAGGCTAAAGGGGGAATAAAAGGTGTCCCCGTAACCAAGAAGAACAGAAAAATTCAGTCAGGAGCTCAGAGTCTTTGGGAAAGATGTCCAGGATCTGATGTGCAGTGTGTGCCATGTGATGTGCAGTGTGGAGCCACACAACAAGGGAAGTTATTAAAAATAATTAGAATAGGTTGGCCAATGACAGCTTGATTTGCCCTGTGCAAATTGAGATTTTCAAGTGGTAAGTCTTGGTTATGAATAAGAGAGTTTTAAGATAATTCTGTGGGCTGGGAAAGAAGTATCAGAACCCACCATTTTCTTCCTTCTGCCTCTACTTCTCCTGGCAGTTATGAGGTAAGTGATGAACTCAACAAAATATAATGATTAACCAGTATAAGAAGTGTAATGAAACATCTGCACATGCTTTTCCTTTCTGGGAAAACAGAGCTGGGCTCATCCCCCTGAGAAATGGCCAAGGGGGGCAGTGGTGGAGCAACAGCTCCTGGCCTGCTCTGTGTACAGCTCCCTCACCATGGTGGTGTCCAGGGTGGGATTGCTCTGCCACAGGAGGGTTTCCAGCACCCATCTCCCACCTTGACTATCTGAGTGAAGTGCAGGAAAGAAGGAAAGTGTTTCCCATGAAATGCTTGCAGGTTAAAACTCAGTTTTAAGTGCAGTGACTGTAATTCCTCCCCTCCTTCAGCTGGGTGTTTGAACCTGGGCTAGTGGAAGGTGTCCTTGCCCATGGCAGGGGGGTTGGAACTGCATGATCCTTAAGGTCCCTTCCTACCCAAATCATTGTATGATTTTATGATTATTAAGCTAAAGAAACCTGTTCCTGGTTGGCTGCCTCTCTTTGACCTGATGTATCTTGAACCAAACTTCTTTTTCCTTCCCTAATTTTCTTTTTAATTTTTTTTTCCCCTGACAGAAGGCAAAGAACATTCTGGCAGATGCAGTTCTCCCATTTAGCTCCCTCCCATTCACAGGGAGCTTTCTTTCCCTCACAGGTTGCTTTTTGCCCCGCAAAATTTCTTCCAAAAGAAATATCATTCCTCCTACATGCCTTTGAACAGACCTGTTTGTTTGTTTTTCCCCATCTTGAATGCCAGCCCCTGGGAGATGCCAAGAACACAAGTCTCCTCCTGAAGTCAGGACTGGGTCCCAAACCCACTTCTCCCATGTTTCCCACCCTGCAGCTCGAGTCAGTGGGGACAATTTCTGCCTAAGGATGAACTGGTTGGGAACAGTGTCCCCAGTGTCCCCTGCACAAGGCTCCTTTTCTTCCTCATCAGGAGTCTGCTGCCTTCCCAACTTTTTTTTTTCCTTCTCTTTTAAACAAATACAACTATTGTTGTTTGTGCAGGGAAAATTCCACTTTCTCCTAGAGGGGCTTTGCCAGGATCCAAAGGCTCGGGATGTATCTTTTCCACAGGCAGTGCCTTCCAGGATTCACAGATCCCTTCTCTTCTCTTTCATGAGCATGGACACTTCATTACACAGTGTTGAGCAATCTCTAAAATCCCCAGCTAG